TTCTTCCCAAGGAGACTGAGTTCCACATTGATGTGGTTGAAGTCCCTCCGGAGGGTTCCTCTGGGGCCCTTCACAATAACTGTGCGTCCTTTCAGAGTGATGTCGACATTTTCTGGAATGTCGACTGTCTGATTGCTAAGAATGGTCTTCATTCTTGCGGGAGATGCGGCAAAGAGCAGGACCTGTGACTATCACAGAGGGGACCAGGGAGATAGCTCAGTGGAATAAGTGCTTAGGTCCTGTGTTCGATCCCTGGTACCACCAAAAAAAAAAAAAAAAAAATCACAAATAAATTAAATATCTTATTTCAATAATAAGCTACCATGAATGGAGATCAGCACATCCCTGCAAAGTCAGATCTACCTCTAGACCTTACCTATAGAGTTTTTGAAAAACTATTCTTTTAACTATAGGGTCTATGTAGTTCAAACTGGCCTTGAACTCACTAAATAGCCCAGGCCGGACTTCAACTTTCAGCAATCCTTCTGCCTCAGCCTCCTAAATGCTAGGATTGCAGGCCAGCTGGAATTGTTTTATTTATTTATTTATTTATTTATTTATTTATTTATTTATTTATTATTTTTTGCAGAACCAGGGATTGAACTCAGGCCCCTGCGCTTGCCAGGGAAGTACTTATTCTGCTGAGCCATCTCCCTGGCCTCTGGAATTGTTTTAAAATTGAAATTGTGCCGGGAAGATAGCTCAGTAGAATAAGCACTTGCCTGGCAAGCGGAAAGACGTTCAATCCCCCGTTCCTCAAAAAAATTAAAATAAAACAAAATAAAATTAATGATTGTAAGCATATAAAATACATTTGAGGGCCGAGGATACAGCTCACCAACACAGCATGTACTTGGCAAGCATGAGGCTGTGACTTAAATTCTAGGTACCAAAAACCTAAATAAATAAATAAATATTGTTCTAAAAAAATAATTTATGGGGGGGGCAGGGGACTTTCTGAGACAGGGTGTTTCTATGCAGTTCAGGCTGGCCTTGAGCTCACTTTGTAGCCTAGGTTGGTCTTGACCTTGCAATGGTCCTCCTGCCTCAGCCTCCGGAGTGCTGAAATTACACACATGGTCTTACATTTGATTTTTGTTTTTGTTTTTGAGGCAGAGTCTCATTATGTAGTTCATGCTGGCTTTGAACTCACTGTTTAGCCCAGGCTGACCTTGAACTTGTGGTAATCCTAAATTCTGGAATTATAGGCATGCATCACCATGTCTGGCCAATACATTTGATTTTTTTTTTTTTTTCTTTTTGTGGAACTGGGGATTGAACTCAGGCCCTTGCGCTTGCCAGGCAAGCACTTATTCTACTGAGCTATCTCCCCAGCCCCTACATTTGATTTTTATATGATTTGAATATTGCAACCTTGAAGAACCCACTTATTACAACAGTTTCTAGTGAATTATTTGAGATTTTCTACATACATGATCCATGTTATATGGGAATATAGTTTGTTTTGGGGTTTTGGGGGAGTATAGTCTTACTTCTTCCTTCTCTGGATGCTTTTGATTTTATTTTCTTGCTCAATTGTTCTGGCTAGACTCCCTGGTTCAATAATTAATAGAAGCAAGGTCCAACCTGATAGCTCAGAAAACTGAAGCACCTGCTTAGGCAGAGAATAGCGGCTGGGGTTCGATCCCCAGTGTGCTGGGCCGGCCCGCAGGGCACACTGAGATGGCGATTGAGATTGGGCGTGGTGGCATGGGCCTGTAATCCCAGCACATGAGAGGCTTTAAACAGGAGAATCACTATGAGTCCGATGTACGTAGTAAGACCTTGTAGACCCTGTAGACCCTGTCCTAAATACAGAAAAAAAAAAAAAAAGAGTAGGGGTAACAGAATGGAACTCAAGACCTTGCGCTTGCCAGGAAGATGCTTATGCCACTGGGCTATATCCCTGGCTTTCCAGAGCATTAAAGTGGAAGGATGGGGGGCCGGGAGATGGCTTGGTGGAATAAGCGCTTCCCTGGCAAGCGCAAGGACCTGAGTTCAATCCCCGGTTCCGCCAAAAAAAAAAAAAAA